TGCGGTTTCCAAAAAAAATATTTTTTCCCCCTTAATTTTAACGAGGGTGACACACATTACTGGTAGCCCTGTAGTTTCCATTATGGCTCTCCTACAATTAATCAACTGAAATGAATGATCAAAATTGCCGCCCCATATAAGTTTGGCTTCACAAGATATCATCAAATTCGCCGGGAACCCACCGAACCATCCCCGGATCCGCTACTTTTTCGTCCTGACTCAAGTAGACTTTCAAGACTTTAAGGTCATTTGATATCATATCTTAAAAACAAACTTACAAAATTTAAAAAATGCTGAATAAGCGAGCACAGTTGCTTCAAATAGGAAGATATCCTATCCACTGGAACTTCACCTTGAAATCAGGAAAATATAATTCATAACCGACATCGAAGCTAGGACAAAGTAAAAAAATAAAAAAATAAATAAAGCAAAAAGCACAATGTCAAAATATATTGGTCTCTGCATACCCATGATGTGATGTATTGATGATGATGATGATGGTGACAATGACGATGACGATGACGATGATTATGATGATGACGATGATAATGATGATGATGACGATGATAATGATGCTAATTGAAGATAATGATAACGATGATGCACAGGTGGCCCAAGCTTGGTTTCTTTGGTGTCCTGCTATAAGGAAATGTATGGAGATTCATCAAAAATTTCAATAAAATCATTGAAACGTGAAATAAAGCCTCGAAATTTTACCCCATCATTGAGAAATAGAACTTCTTTTGAACTGCTTGGTTATTTTTTGAATTTAGCCCGTTTTAAGATTTTTTCGGAGGAACAATTATAGTATGGCAATAAATTTATTGCGTACAATTAATCCTTTATTGCACTCCCGCATATAATTAAAATCGTATGTATAATATATATATGTTACTCAGTTAAACTTCACTAGTATCTATCGTTCGATTCCCTATATATACTAATACTAATGACGATGATGATAACAAATCTCAGCATTCCACTCCAACACTAACTCACTATTATTTATTCGTCATCGTCAATATTTTTTCCAAGTTCGTCATACCCTGTCTTTTTAGTGTCGTCCCTTCTTTGACGGAATGCCGCCTTTACCAACGCATCTGGAATCCTTTCCTAATTTTGGATTGGACATGTGTTCAAAAATAAAATCGAAAATCAATAATTTTTTTGTCATTAGACTGTTATCAGCATGTTTTGACTATGAAGAAATCGAGGATACAGATCTTTCATTCTTTCTGTACCCCCCCCCCCTTAGTTAAAAAAATCAATCTCTTTATTATATGCTTTTATCTTATCAAGTGAGAATATATTAGAAACGTCTTGTGCAGCTAAAAGATCAATAATCTTGATCGCGGCAAGTTTCGATCAACGTTAAAAAAACACTGAGTTGACTGAGTGAGTTGTCAAAAAAAACCCTTTCTATTTACTTTGTCGTTTATATACGACCAAATGCAAAAGCGAAATAAAGCGTTTGAAGACAAGAAAACGTAATATCAGTCTCAGCAGACGTCAATTCTCTTGTAAAAACCATGCATATAGTAGATCCGAAATGAAATAAAAAGGACAAGAAAAGGATGGCCAATTACTATGGACAAATTAAAAAATCTTCATATTAAAAACGTTGCTATCGTTACCAAAAGTATCATAAATCAAATGCAAATATCCAAGAAAAAGTCCTCAATTTTGACTCACCCCTCCCTTGCGTGATCTATTGTCCCAGTATCGTGATTGGTTGTCGAATTTGAACCAATCGATGTCACCTCAGCGCAGTTTTCTACTCGAAGGTTGGTAATATGGCGAAGTAATGGCGTTTTCCGCCCAGCCGGACCATGGGCAAAACGATCGAACGCACAGGGATTTGTCCGGTATAGCCAAAGTTTCGAGAAGAGAGAAAACCAAGGTTTGTTCTGGCACGTTTTGGTGCCCATTTTGGAGCTTTCCGACCTCACTGAAGCAGTGTCTATGCAGTGTAATCGTAACCCTCTAAACTTTCTTGTGGAAGGCATCGGACGTTCATCTCAGCAGAAGAAATTTTTTTTTTGCCTATCCTAGAAGAAAATTATCCCTTTTATTTTGAGTTTAATTAATCTAGTATATCCGTAGACCTTCTTAAGGTTGATATAACTGTGTTTTTACTTGTAGTTTGTTCCAAATCCCGCGGCCAAACCTTTCGTGCCGAGTTCTAACTTCGACTCGACTGGCTCTAACAAGACCTGGTCTACAGCTCACAGGGGGCAGAGCTCGTTATTGCAGGTAAATAAAAAATCCCCGAGTCTAGTTAGTGACCTAACATAACGGCCCGTGTGTTTTTATAACCCCAAAGTAACAAAGGTAGCTTACTTTGACCAGTTATTGTACAAATACAAGCAATTTGCAGACCATACGTTTCCGCGAAGATCAAAGAGTTAACTCATATTTGAAAGAAGCTATGATTCGTTTAATATTTCTTAGCCAATAACTTGGGATATTAAAAAAACTTTTTTGCCGTTTTCCCATAATCTTTTATTCAAGATTAGTTTGCAATATCAAGTCGAAGTTTACATTATTATTTCTTCAAGCTTATTCCTGTTTATTTTAGACAACAAGCAAGTGAAAAAGTTACAAGATTTTTATTTCAGTTCCTTTTATTAATGACAAAAATTTTTTCATCCCACAAAAAATAGCACATAGTAAATATGGCACGAATAAGAAAAGTTAGATTTTCTTATTTGGAAATATTCAGCATAATTATCTAACTAACTGCTTTGAGATTTTTTTTGTAGTCATTCATTTTATATTTTTCTCAATGATATTGAGCTTATTTTCATGAAGGACGTAATTCTGCATATGTTTTGTTCTGTAAACTGGTAAACTACTGTTTGTTTAAAATAAAATTGGTTGAAGAAATTCTTTTTATTTTCCTTCTTAATACAAAAATTTGAAAGAGTTTGTATCCTATTTTTTTGTCTTTGAGTTTTCCTAAGCATTGTTAGTAAAATGAAATTTTTATGGTGTGATATTGTATTTCTGTTGGATATAAGCTTAATTCTTTTAGAGAGAATAAGAGAAAAATATCAAATGCCCTTGGCAGGATTCGAACCCACGTCTTCGGTATTCTAGTCCGATGTGTTAACCCCTACACTACAAGGACCAACCACGCTGATAACGCAGCCAGAATATGAAATGTAGGGTATTCGTGAGGATCCCAGAGCGATATTTTTTCTCTATAGATAAATTGAACACCGTAAATATGTACGCAAAGAATAGACGTGGGTTCGAATCCTGCCAAGGGCATTTGATATTTTTCTCTTATTCTCTCTACTCCATTATATACACACCGAACGCATAATTTATTACTACTTAATTCTTTTAGTTTAGTTTAGTTTTGTAAATTGGTGAAACAAAAAAAAAAAAATCATTTTAAAAACTGAAGTTAAAACCAAAGTTGGTATTAAAGTTTTTTTTTCTCCAGGAGTTTTCCTAAGCCTTTTTACTCACAATTTTTTTTTGTTTTGTATTTTTGATGAATATAGATAGATAAATTTCTTTTCATTGTTTCAATATATTAAATTTTTTTCTTTTTATTGTTCGATATTTGTTGTACTGAATGACTTGAAATGTTAAATCAGGTTATTGGGGGTTTGCTACCATGGAAACCATTTGGTTCAGCTGCTGATGGCTGGGTCACTTAAAAAAGATTGTGTGTTCAGTACACTTGTGTTTGACAATGATGACCTTTTCATTCTGGATTGGTTCATCAATATAGCACCATAGGTCATCCACTTTTATTGTTCAAAATCCATTCTATTTTATTTCATTTCATTATTGGTTTGCATACATAAATTCACTTAAAGATTCAAATTGTAGAATTATAACTCATTTTGTTGCAAATGCTATATTTTGCTGATGAACAAGATTAATTTTTTTCATTATGTTAAAATAATAGAGTGAGATTTGTTTATTTTGTTGATGCTTTAATTTTGTTACCATTCTGAGGAAAAATAATTTACTAACAAAAAATCCTAATCCATGTGAACTGAAACTGAATTTATTGTATATAGGATATTTATTTTAGGTGTTATTTGGGCCTGGTAATTAATAAAATATGTAAATTTTATCCGTGAATCAAACCCGAGACCTCTTGATGTTTTTTTCAAGAAGTATTTGCTTCATCCAATGAAAAAATGTTTTTCGATTATTTTATTATATGATCCCCATAGAGTAAGCATACAGTACAAATAAATGTAATCTGCATTCATAACAACAGCCTTTACGCTAACAGAAAACACTCACCAACACCATACTTAACTACAGTACATATACCAACACCTGGTACAATCTCAGTTATCTTCTAGTAAGCAAAACATTTAGGAGATTACTGTACATAGTTTTTGAAAATGAAGTTTTTTGTAAGCTTACTAATACGGGAATGCATTTAACATAGGGTGTTACACGTATTGTAAAGTTCTATGATAATAATTATTGTATTATAGCAGGCTGAAAATAAAGAGTAGAGAATAGGTCATATTTATATTGTCCTACTTCATTAATATACTAATAAAGTAGAATAATATTTAACAATTATTCACTGAAGGGAATAATATTGTTTTAGTATAATTTTAAACTTGAATATAACAGAAAAATTGAAATTCAGGATAAAAAACGATTTAGTATTACTTCTGATCTGGAAAACTTTGGAAAACCTCATAATCACTGATGCAGCGGTGATTTTCGTTTCAGAATCACCAGTCACTCGACCAATCACAGCTTAAAAATCTTTATATTCAAGCCTAAAATTATAAGTCATTGAACAATTATTGGATAAGCATGATATTATCACAAATTATCAAGATGGCCATGTTTTCTGCCGAAGCCATATGATGAGGCAGATGAAACGTTCAAGGCCGTTCATAATTTGCAATATCTCCAGATAACCAAATTCAATAATTGTTTTATTATACATTTTGTAACTTAAAGGTATAATAACACATGATATGCTCATGGTAATATTAAGCTTGGCATAGCAACAGTGCTCACGTCTCACATCTGGGGTCTCAGGTTAGATTCCTGGACTTTGGTGTGAGTAAAGTTTGTTGGGTCTTTTTCTTGATTCTAAGGTTAATTTCTCCGGGTTTTTCACCAGTTTTTCTCCCTCCACAAAACTTAATATGCTTATTTCTAAATTCATCGTGAGTTAGCTGTGCCCTGGCTTTGATTAACCAGAGGTTGTTTCAGGTATTAAATTTGAAGGTTTTTGAAGGTTATATTTGTTTATTTTTTCAGTTTCAAAATGGCACCAATAGATACAAGGACAGCAAGACATTAGGAAATGCACATCATGGCTTCAAAAATGGATCTTTACCAAATGGCATCACAGGAAACACACTTCTTCATTCTTGCACAAACAATAATGGAGTTCAGAAAGAAAAGCCTCTTCATTCAACACAATCTCAACCTGGAAAACACATTGCACTTCACCTTCTGTCAAAGGTTCTAGATGATGAAACTATCTTCAACTTCACTAGCATCGATGAATCTACTAATCTTCCTGGTGAAACCTTCTCTTCAGGCCCTGGATATCTGCCGCAATGTCAAAAGTGAGTTCAGTAAAAAATAGACCACTCCTTCCACTACTTATTACATATTTGATTTGATTAACAGTGTATTTATGTCGTTTCTATACATGTATACGGTTTTTTTAATGCACACTGAATGGTCATTTTGATACATATCTATTTTCAAGTCATAACATAATATTACACAAATAACATGAGATAAAATGTTACTGTATTTAAAAAAAAGAAATGAGGCCTTACCTGAATGATAAGGTTGGGTAATGGAACCCTAGTATCCTGGATGAGATATTGCACCTGCTTCTGCAAAATAATACCCTTATAATTACATTATTTCAGCAGGAAGTTAATATGTTACAAGTGCATTTGTTTGTACGAATAAAATACGTAGTACAGTTTTATTGTGCATATTTTAGAGTCAATATCAGTGAGATAAAGATGTCAATAAAAACCACATTAGTGAAGTGATACGATATATCACTTCACTGGAAACTGGAAACTGCAAATTTTGTCATTCTCTCGACTCTAAATGTGTAATAAACAAACATTATATGTTAAAAGCCTGATATCTTTTTTATTCACTCGTTTTCCATATCATATCGCTCACTCACTTGCAGACTTGCTCGTTTGCAATATGATATGGAAACTCATAAATAAAAACAATACCAAGCTCTTAACATGTGATAATCTCTATATTCTTTGTATTTTTATATGCATTATTATTATTATATGTACATGTGTTGGTTGCTGTACTGTAATGGAAATATAGGAGTTGAACTTTGGTACTTTCCCTTATTCGAAGCTTACTAAAAATTGAACTATAACCATAGCACTATAACTTATCTATGTTTCTATATCTTCATGTATTTCATAAGTGCTACGCGGTCCACATATTCTCATCTTTGCATTGGTAGTACAATTCTGAAGGTTGTGGGTTCGATTCCCAGCGAGGTCGGAAATTAATTTTTCCGAATTTAATTCCAAGGGCTTTTCGCCCAGAATAACCTCGCCCTAGCACTATAACTTATCTATATTATATCTATATCTTTATAAAAATTGAACTAATAAATTTGATTAAGGAAATGCTTTATAATACATTTTTTCCCTTTCAGTTTTGATGGCTCAGCACATTCCTGGCCTCTTACTTCTACAACCAACCAGCACCATTCTCAAACAGAAGCACCATCTGTCACTATTCCAAGCATTGCACCAAACATTGGCTCATTTCCACGACAAAACATTTGGTCACATGATTCCAATCATGGCGTAACACCTCCACTATCTCCTCTAGGCTCATCTCCTTCTAGCTACAATGAATTATCTGCCAATGATAGCTTCAGTCTTCAAAAGCCTGTAAGACCTAACTCTTTACCAGAGTATGAAAGATTCTCTCCTTTGGTAAATGGTTTCATTGATGATCAATCCCCCTATCCCTCTCCTACTGGCCAATCATACAGCTCTTCTAATGCCTCACCACACCAGTCATTTCTTCCAATTCAAGAGCATTTCTGTAATGGAAAGAGCCAGCAATCATGTGAATCTGGTTATGCTAGTAATTCAAACCAGGGCACACAAATGTCACCATCATCACTTCACTGCTATGTGGCATCATCACCAGAAATCCAGAGTTTTATTTTACCATTATCAGCACCTGGAAGCCAGTACAACAGTTCTCCCAGTCTGTCCCCCTCCTCCCCACCCTTGGGACAAATGAGATTGCATCGGAAGTACTTGAGCTCAGAAAGTGAACAAATGGTCAGTTCCTCAAGGTCAAAACAGCATTGTTTTAGAGAGAAATCCTATCAGTTGCAAAGCCCTTCACCCAAGGAGCGCAGAGAAAATGGATATGTATCATTCAGTCCTCTACAAAGAACTAAAAGTCCTTTCACAAGTGAGCTTCACCTGCGTCTAGATGAATGCTATGAGCAACTGCGATGTCTGGAAAAGGAAAGAAAGAAGGTATGGAATGTAAACATAATATTGTTCATTATGGACCATGGAAGTGGGAAACATGAATGAATGGGAATAGATTTAAAATAACATGGAATAACTAATCAAAGGGAATATCTTTTATAACTGTATAACAAATATCTTTCTTACAGCAGATTCAGGTTGAGCATTTAGCGGCTCCATTCCTCGCTATAATTGTGACAGTTTAATAATGATTTCGCACATTGTCATGCAGAATGCCTGAGGTTTCTAGGTGGCTGGGAACAGGTTCAGCTGATAAGAATTACTGTCGAGCAGGAAAAGTTATTCTTATTAGTCGAACATGTTCCCAGTTGCCTAGAAATGGCTCAGTGGCTTTCTGTATGATGACATGCATATGTAAACTGAACTGTAACAAGGATTGTGAGAAACAATCTTGTCCAACCTGAATCTCCAGTAAATTAATTCAATCTGCTGGCTTTTTTTTTTGTGTGTGTGTCTCCCTGATTAGTTGGATGCTTGTGCCCGGCTAGAAGTATTTGAGACGTTAATAAAGTTATTATTATTATTATTGTTGTTATTATCATTGTTATTATTATCATTATTATTGTTATTATTATTATTATCATTGTTATTATTATCATTATTATTGTTATTATTATTATTATCATTATTATTATTATTATTCATAAATATGTGATCAACAAAGAAATAATTATCAAGAGTATGACAAATGATTTGAAGCAACAGTGGATTAGGTCTACAGCAGGAATTAGCTGTTTTCGCTTGAATAAAAAGGAAACTGAAACACAGGATAAAAACGTTTGGAACTATGCTGACACTCTTAATGTTATTGTTTTTTAGTTTTTTTCTTTTTACTCTTATAATACACTCAACAAATTACTTGATTCTGATTGGACAAGAGGAGTACAATTAATTCCCAAATTGTACTCTGTAGAGTCCCAATTAAGTTTCTTAATTTTGTTGAGTGTATTATAAACAAAGACTTTCATCAGTGTAACTGAAAATGTTTGCACACATATGACAGTGTTAACGTTTTCTTGACACTACATTGACATTTTAATATGTAATGTTTCAGTCAAATGCTTTATATAGTTAATTTCATTGCCTAATCTACTCAAATATTTTGCATCTAACAGGCAGAAGCAGAGATCTCTCATCTGTGGTCAAGTCGTAGGCTTTCTAGTTCTGGGAACAGCAATAACTTGAGGCTTCAACCGAATCCTTCTCGTGTTGACAAGATGGTGATTGACCAGCTGCGAGAACATGCAAAGGTAAGAATAACAAACAACACTTTTTTGGTAGTCAGTTATAGCTCTATTATGTCTCTAATTAGAAAAAAATCTTGCCGATGGGATTTATAAGATCCATTAACTGGAGAAATTCCATAACTGTAATGAATTGATATTTTTCTATTGTTAACCATTTACAAGACAGTACAACACTCTTTATTTCCCCCAAATGTTACTTAGATATTAGACACCTCCACCTCGACAAATTTTCTACAAATTATCCAATAGTGTTTGAGTATTTAGACAATAGATTAGCAGCAAATTTTGAATTTAGATATTCTTCCGTCGTTGCGGTTGGTAAAACTAAATGATGAAGAAGAGCTTGTAATATATTTTCTTCGCAAATTAGTTATTTGTGTCACCAAACGTATAGAAAAATAGTAGAAGATAATATAGGTAAGTTGTAGTGCTTGGGAACGAGGTTATTCCGGGCGAAAGCCCTTGGAATTAAATTCGGAAAAATTAATTTCCGACCTCGCTGGGATTCGAACCCACGACCTTTCATTAGTGCCACGCGGTCCACATACTCTCATCTTTGTATAGAAAAATAGTAATGTACGACTTCAAATATGACAGGAAAGCAAATTAGAGACTGTATAAAACACAGTCTTTATGATTACAGTTTGTTTCTGCCTGACAAAGATATTATCAGGCTGACACTGTTAGATCTTATCACTGTGTTGCTATGCGACAGCACGTTCATATTCGACAACAAAGATGCCGGCAGTCTTCTAAGCCGTGTAAACCCATGGATATTTGTCCGATTTGTAGCAATTCTATTGTTCATATTCCTACTTTTGATTGGCTAATTTGTAGAAAATTTGTCAAGATGGTTGGAGTAGTCACACTGTAATCATAATTTAATCTCATCACAAAGAGTTTATTCATAATTATTTGATCATTGTTGCCTGATCTGTTTCAAGGTTGAGACCCTTGTGAGCAGAATAGAGCGCATAAGACACTCTCCCCTTCATCTTAGTATCAGTGAATGTGTAGACCAGTGGCAGGAGGCCATTAAAGAGCTACAGGCCAAGAGAAGAGAAGAAATAAGCAGTTGTAATGGTGGTAATGCAGGGCGTAGCAGGCTATGCTCTGCTTCAAGGTTCCTTGATGGTTCTGGTAAAGAATTAATTTGATTTAACAATACAAGTACCTTACACGTTTTTACACTATCGGGCTGATAAACCCACCTAATGTGTCCTTGAAGTCTCATATGAGACTTGGTAGCTCAGTGGTTAGAGCATGGCACAGGAATTGCCAGGCCACAGGTTCAAATCCTGTTCAAGACTTTTTCGGATTTTTTCAATTTTCAGCTGGATAAGTTGCTTCACATACTGTGAGGATCAGCTCAAGATTTGATACATTACAACCGCAGTACAAAAATACATTTCATATATATTCCCATACACCTTACACTTTTCATAATCATAGTCTTTTGATTTCATGAGTTAGGAATTAGAACAAGATTAATTGAAACTTTAGGGTATTGATTTGAGGGGAATCCCCAAAAACAAAAATGCCAAATGTTACAATCTTGGAGACACTTTGTTTTGAAATGATCCTGGTCAGAAAGGGGAGGGGGTAGTTCACAGACACCCAGTGACCCTTCCCAGGATCCACTACAGTAGTCTCGTATTTACTGTTTTTGTTATGGTATGAGAATAACCAGAACAATTAGGAATAAAACCCTTAAAATTGGAAGAAAAAATTCTTGGAAAATATTGAGTAAAAACCATGAAAGCCCATGTGCAAAAACAGTCATCTAAAAATGTATAATCATTACATTTCAGTGTTCTTATGCAATATATTTTTATTGAAATTTTGTCTTTAGATCTCCAAGGCTTGGTGACAGCTGTCAAAAACCTCTGTGTGCAGACGCGTGCCATCCGAACGACTGTATGGTGTGCGGTTCACCTTGTAACATGCGAAAGCATTCCAAGAACCAGTAGCTTTGCAGAAAGTGAGAGTAGTGCATCACCATCTGAAATGAATGTTCTAGAGGGCACAGGAGAGGTATCATGAAAGTGGTTTGATGAATAATGATGGCAAATTAAACAGTGGGAAGACAAATCCACAGTAAACTGGAATATGACTAATACAGTTAATGAACAATGTTATAATGCAACAGCAAGGATATAAGCCATACAGATGCCTATTTAGCTCTACAGATTTAGCAGGACTGAAAACACCATTGAAGGCCAATACATGCAGCACGATGATGAAGCAATTTGTTTAATCAGCCCAGGAATGAACTTAGCACTGTCAGGAACATGCATGCATATTCAAGAGTAGGCACGAGTGTACTGCAGCTACTACTGTGTGTAAAGTGTACCGGGAGTTTAAATTCACGGTATTGTAGTAATACCAATGCTTCATGGTCACTGTTAATCTGAAAAGAGCTGATTGTGGTGATGTAACATGGTTATCAAGGTTAATTCAGTATGTGTATTTGATGCTCCATGCACTGCGCATCATCAATGCGCTAGAAACGCAATTGTTTGACAAGGAGGAGGGACTATACAATGAACGTAGTAAGGTTAAGTGATCTGATCTGTCCTATTCGCGCTTTCATTTACAGTGTCCAACGAAGGCATTGCCTTTATTTATGATTATTTAATTTTAGAAATCATTTCAAAATTTGGTATCTTTTTGAGATTTTCCAAGTGTGATCAATATCAGTGATATTCTGGTGTCTGAAATCCTCCTACTCTTTTTTCCTGGTACAGGAATGGAGTTATGGAATATTACCCCTGGGTTCCTGAGGAAGGGTGTCTGACAGATACAGTAGTTAGAATATTGTTTTCTGAAAAAAAGGTAGGCATTGGTTAACTTAGATACTGGCAGAAATAATTTTTACATACCGTACCATAAATTGATAAATACAATAATATGCAGTCACAGCTAAGCAGAAAATTGTTTTTTGTTTGTTTTTGAAACAACTCCTCAGTCACAGAGATCAATTTTTCTTGAGCAAACACAACAATTTCAACACAAATCCACGTTTCACAATCTTTCTCCTTGGTATCAACAATAAATGAACGTTACAGTCAAACTAGTCTCCCCCACAGCCGCTTTCAGTGTCGTCACGCAATGTTTTCTCCCCTGAGTAGTTACTCGGGGGAGAAAGCGTTGCGTGACGACACTGAAAGCGGCTGAGGGGGAGACTACAGTCAAACATAATAATTTTCTATTTCTTGATATTGTTTACAAATTCATGGTCAGAAAGGGAATTAAATTTGCCTTGGAAAACTCCAAGGAAAGCTTTGTGCAGAGTTACTTGCATTTTTCAATTGTTTGAACGTAAATATACCTTTTTAGCTTGGGCACAATGTGTTTTCCTATTTCAGAACGTATCATTCCAATAGAAAAAGACATGAATATGGATGCCATTCAATCAAAGAATAGTCCCCTTTGCCACAAATCCTAGCGCCATCTTGAAAGGTAGTCAGGCCTTTGCATTGAAGCAAGACGAACAGTGAGCTTGCAATGAATATAGAGACCCTTTTTTAACACCTTGGACAATTATGTTTTTATCACAAGCTCACCTATCATTTCATGACTATTCTAAGGGCATCTTCATAGTAGGCTATTGAAAGTTTAGTCAAATCTAACTAGCGGTCTGTCATCAATGCTGCATTCTGATTGGATAAGCTACTAGTAGGTTATAAGCTATAGTCTACTAGTAGTGAAATGTGATGGCTTTTAAAGCCAAAAAAAAAAACCAAAATTAATAGTCCTCTCACCCTTATGCCCTATGAGTCAATGGCCCATTCAGCCTTCAGCCTCATGGGCTATTGACCTGTAGTCTATTCGGGCTAATGGCAAAATGTAAAATGCAGATGTGCATTTGAATGGGAATGATCATTGACAAACATATAAATTCCATTGTCGTGTCATGCATGGGAAAACTGTGCCAAATTAAGCGTATGAAGAATAGCTTTGATAAAGACTTGTTATTCCTAATGGTTTCCACCCTAATAATTATGAGCAAGTTTTTCTACTGTTGGTCCATCTGTTCGAACACGTAAACAACGAATGTGAAAAAGCTTCAAGCTGTCCAGAACTTTGCTGGCAGAATAGTTACCAAGACACGAAAGTTTGACTACATTACCCACCCCTGCCATGAAGGAACTGAGTTGGCTTCCTGTTAAGGAGCACTTATTATACTGTGACACCATTATGACTTACAAATGCATGAATGTGATGGCACCGTCTTATCTATGTAACAAATTTTGTGACCGTGCCACGATCCATGGCCGTCACACTCGTAATTGTGACCTACTTCAAATCTCTCTCTACACTACAACTTCTTGTGAAAGACATTCAAGTACAGAGCCATTAAGGTTTGGAACTCGTTGGATGAAAGAATGAAAGAACTGAAGTCGTTAAAGAAGTTTAAAAGCATTTTAAAAAGTGTTTCGTTCATTTTATATAATATCATTTACTGTAATAGGTTTTGAAAAGCCCTTTGTATGGAAAATCTAATAAAGTATGTATGTATTGAAAATCTTTTGCCTTTCCTTCTACCACTGCAACTAAAATTCAATACAAGGTTACTAGTAAGAAGTTTGAGTAAGTATTGTATTTATAGTACTTGCTAATAAATAAGGAAGGATGATATTGATATTTGAAGGATAATAAATAATTATTTGTATTGATATGGTATTGAAAAGAATAAAACGAGATAAAACATCATAGTTCAGGGAAAACATTGCCCTCTTGCATTTATTTTCAGTACGACTTCTCAGAAGATGCAACTTTGTCTTGGAAGTACAATCCTTGGTGTCTTAATGAACTTTAGATGACTTTAAGATTACACAAGTTTATGATATCAAGACAATTTTGTGCATGAACAGGAGTACAATATAAAGGGATTTTATCAAAGTTTGGAATTGAAGTCATCTGATTTAAGAAATACGACAGTAACTGTTATATCATCCCTCCACATGCGGCGATATTGTTCTGGTACAAGAAGCATCTGTGCTACAAAATGATGATCATTACCACCAATAGCATGTCTGATAAGGTGTGTTGCTGCATTCTTCTCTAGAATCTCGCCAATGTTTTTCTTACTTGAATCTAAGAACTGTCCAACTAATTCCACAGCTTGTTGACTGGACAGTGAATCCCAGAGGCCGTCTGAAGCAAGAATGATGAATTTGTCCTGTTTTTGTATCTGGTGCTTGGTAGTGACTGGTTTGGCTGTAAGATATGGAGGCGTTTTATACAAGTGGGGAGGAACAATTGGACCTCCATATATTTGAGTAAGAATGTGAGAGTGGGTAACTTGGTCCCACTTGTACTGAATATCACCAAAGGCACGTAATGGCTGCAGCTGTCCAAGAAGTCTCCCATTCTTAATCACTGTTCCTTCTTCACCTGGGTGTTCCTTAAGTAATCTCCTGTATTCTTTCTCATTTTTGCTATTCTGGTCTTCAGTAAGTTGTTGGGCAACCCATGATCCACTTTGTGCTTTACTTCCCAATACCACTCGGCAGTCACCTAAGGCAATAACAACAACAAAATGTTTAACCATTCTGTTAAGGGGTAGCAGGAGGCAGGTTGGTAGGAGGGTGCACAGTACATAGATAACACTCTCACTAACATTCTGACCCTCTTCCCATTCTTCCTTTCTCTTAGCCAGAGAGTGCATGCCTTCAAATAATAGTAATGAGAGATAAACGTGAGAGGGTGTGACTTGCCATACACTAAAACTGGAACTTTATATACATGGCATTTAAACTCTCAATATAGTAATGGGCAGTTGCATTTTTAGTCCGCACCCCCCCTATTGAGGACATAACTTTTCAGTTCCCCCCTCCCCTGGATTTTCCAGAGCCCTCAAACCCCCCCTCCCCTGGATTTCCACTTAAATTTAATACCCCCTCCCCTGGATTTTCCAGTGCCCTCAAACCCCTCCTCCCCTGGATTTCCACTTAAATTTAATACCCCCTCCCCTGGATTTTCACTACCAAATTTAATAYCCCCTCCTCTGGGTTTTCCAGTGCCCTCAAACCCCCTCTACACTGGATTTCCACTTCCAAATTTAATACCCCTCACATTTCTACTTAATTTTAACACCCTTTCCCTTATTTGACATAAAATATGTATTTTGTCTTATTTAAAAATTTACCTTATTGGAAAAGTGTTTCAAATTATTTCCAAACTACATTCTTTTTGTTTTTCGACTGCTTTTACATACACGGCCTAGTTGAAAGAAGCCTCGTAGGAAGAAAGAACTTATGTAATTTAGTGAGGAATTTAATAATTAAATTATTAGTGATTGACCATAATCCTAAGGAATGTCTTGGTTATTAAAAAAAAGAAAAAGATCAGCTCCAGTGATTTATTTTGTCTTTTTAATACATTCCTTTATCAGTAAATCAATAATTAAAATCCTCACTAAATTACAAAAGTTCTTTCTTCCTATGACAACCTTCTTGCAA